TATACATAGATACACACATATATATAAAAGAACAACCACCCATCCACCCACCCACACATACATACACGCACACACGCAAAAATACATAGACACTCAGGCATACATATTTGAATATATAGAAAGAGATACGCCTATGTATTCCCACCTCCTCCCACATTTGTTTGTATTCGTATATATTCATTTGCTTGATCATCAACAAATGTATTCGAGTTGCGCGACTTTCACTTTTCCAAGCTCTCCATGCTTATACTTGAGATTATTCTGAATTCTAGTCTGCTATACTGCCATACTCTCCCAGTATATACCATCGTTCTCGAGCAGAGTATGTCTATCCTGCTCAATTGCAAATATAATTCGGTGATGCGCTGCAGGTATTAGAGGGGTGGCCATGGGCTTGTTAACGGTATTTCATATTCTCAGCCTCTGTATGCCTATGTAGTTCTTCACTTCAGTACTAAGCTATATCCTCAAATCTATAATACCCTTATCTTCTTCGCATCGTTAGACTCTTAAACCCTCAATCTTTTATTTTCAAGTCTATTACCTATTACCCAACTTATACCTCATCCTGCTCACTATAGCTTATTGTATTCGCGCGCAATATATATATGTATATATTCTACCAGAAGGATGGCAGGTGCTATTCTGCTGCGAGGGGGTATGCACTTGTTACTAGAGAGACATATGTCTAGTGGGTTGTGTTTGACGGCACACCATCAAAGTAAAGAACCCTTTCACGTCACTCTACACCCCTATACCAGCTCGTGTCCTCTGTACTCAGTTATACTCCTAAATGTTACTGTACTCTCGCAGGGGTATGATCTCGTCTACCAGGGGGATGACGGGGGCTATTTTGTGGGGAGAGGGTCTGCAGGTATTGTTGGAGGGCGATACTTCCGGTGGGTTGGAGATGATGGCGCACGCCTTCTTGACAGGCTCGGGCAAGGGCATTCATTGTGTGCTTAATCCTAATGGCAGAGGTGCGTGGGTGGATGGGTCCACGTTTATGTTTCTGTGTACATATTTGACTTTATCTGTCTGTTGGTTCGTATTCATGTTCCTAAGACTGTATCTGTCTTTGACCTTTGTTGCCTTTAGTATCATGCAGTTGTATGATATCGGTGCGCGCAATGACATTCGCTTTAGACTGAACTCCAATCTGCTCTATACTGAACCCCAATGGCAGGGGTATGTGAATGCATGTGTCTACGTTCCTGTAATTATTTATTCATCTGGCTCTGAATTAATTCGTTGGGTTGCATTCGTCAACGAGGTCAAGGACGGGTGTATACGGTGACGTCAATCCCAGTGTGAGAGTTAAGTGGACGGGGCCCTTTTTGTTTATATGTGTATATACCGGAGTTTACTTATCATGCAACCCTGTATACATACCTATAGTTCTACCTGTCTTTTTATGTATACACAAAGTACTGATGTCAGCTTCTTCATGGGGATGCCGTGAACAGCGGGGCGGATTAACAAACTTATGAGAACCCGTACGATAGCGTGTATGAATTTATTTACCTAATAATTCAGGGCAGGTAAACAATGACCAAAAATAGGGACGGGCAAATTTTAAATTAATTTAAATGCACGCCAAAATCGATAACTTCCTTTTTATTTGATTTCTAATATTTCAGGGCCGGGTAAAGCTAAAGTAGAGATGACTAAAAACATGGACGGGGTGGATGCGTGTGAGGCTGCGCTGCTGTGGGTGCTGGGCCCAGATGAGCGAGGATGGGCAGGTGGCGAATACGGCGCGGTATGCATGCTCTGTAACTGTGATTTTTTTGATATGTAAATCTATATACA